CCCTGTTTCAAGACCTATTTGAAAGAACTTAAAATGAACCTTAGGAACACTTCACAATTTAAAGGGCAGAGAGTAATTTTAGCAGATTTACAATGTTACCTAAATGTGAAGTATTAAAGATTAGTGTTTCCAGTTACACAAAGTCTATTTCTCTTAACCTTCTCAAGTGTAATTCTAGGTTTTTTGGTTTTTGTTTTGTTTTGAGACAGGGTCTCACTATCTAGCCCAGGCTGGCCTCAAACTCAACTTTGATCCTCCTGCCTCAGCCTCGAAAGTGCTGGGATTACAGGCGTGCAGTACCACGCCAGTTAATCCTAGGAATCTTGCCTGTAAACACAGCCCTTCTGGGCAAGGAATACTTCCTCTCAGCGTAGCAGAGCTTCACATTTTACATTGAGTGCTTCAGGTTCCATCATTTTTTTAAGACATAAATGATTAAGTAATGGCATATGACATATTACAAAAGAATTGTTCATGGAGTGTCAAGCTTGGAGATTTAAGTATTGATTTTATTTCAAAAAGAATGCTACAACTTAATGTGGTTTTTTTCATGTTTATATTAAAAGAAAATCTAATAAACTCTATTTTAATTAAAACACGGCTAGTGTGTTTATAATACTTCCTCTGTTCACATAACATTACATCTGTTCAGAATTTAAACATTTTATGTTGGTCCTGATGGGTTTTAAAGCATTTTCAGACTGACCCTACTAAAGCTGGTTTGATCCATTCCTCTAAGGTGTAATAATAAATTTCTTTTACTTAAGTGCTTTTCCACCTAAAAAGATAATTACACTCAAAGTCACTGTCTGGTCACAATACTTTTGCTGACATAGTACACTAGATGGCATCTTTCAAAGTACAATTAGGTAAAACATCAGAGAAAGAAGTGACAGGAATAGTGTAGAATTAGAATTTGAAGTTTCAGTTATATGGGAAAGAAAATGAAGGAACAGGAACTAGATTTGGACTTACTGTACAGAGGGAAGCATACAACTTGACCACACTGTTAAGCTGCTTTTGAGTAATTGGGCTGCCCAGGTTCAGTAATTTTCAGTCCTGACAGTATTGTTACGTATTCATCCATTTGTAATTTTTTTCAGTATAGTTCAATCTTTAAATGACTAATCATTTTCTTGATACATTCCTGATTAGGATAAATGACCTGACTGGATTTATAAGGAAAAAATTATAAAGTCAGTATAAGATGATTTGAGCCCTGTGTCAACCATTAAACAGAAAAGCTGAAATTGGAGTTTTAAAAAACTATTTGGGAGCAGCACACTAGACATGGACCTGTAAATTCAGAATATCACTAAAAACTGCTGTTCCCCATTTGGCCTTAACTCTAGAAGGCGGAACAGCACTTCTGAAAATGGGATATTGGGTCAACTTCAGGTCATATAAACAGCACTAGAACTAAGTTCTCTAATGTCATGGGACATGGAAACCAAGTTGCTAGTTGGGTGGCAAGTGGCAGTCTTTTCAAGGTTCTCTAATGGGAAGATTATAAAATGCAGTACCTGCCTGGATTCAAATTCATTTTGGGGATTTGAGGGTTTTTTTGTTTTGTTCTGTTTTGTTTTGGCAGTACCTGGGATCAAACTCAGGACCTTGAGCTTTCGAGGCAGGCACGGTGGCACTGAGGTAAATCCCCAGCCTGAGGTTTTGTTTTTTAATGTTGTAAAAAAGACCTCAAAATTTAACTGAACTTTTAACATCTTCATTGGCTAGAAGAGCCAAAGATTTGAAATGTTTAAAACCAATGAAGCCCATTTTTCAGGTCCAAAATATGGTTGCCTGCTAGGAATTTCATGTGGTGCCAGTATGACTCTTCCGCACTCCCTTTAGGGACAGGATCTTACCTTGTAGCCTGCATTGGCTTCAAACTCAGGATCCTCCTGCCTTAAACCTGAATGCTGGGGTTATAGGCATACATCAGGCTCCCATTTCTTCTCATGTACCTCCATATGTCCTCGAGTTACTGAAATCCAATAGCACTTAGTCCTGCTTTATAGCAACTTGATTTAGTTCTACAGCTCTACAGTATTCTCCCTGGCTTAAAGCTTATATTAACCGCAAAACATTCTTCATTTTGTATTCAGGTTAGGCAGTGTTTTTGGAAACTAGCTACCATATGCGGGCCAGCTCAGTCACCTTTCACTACCCAACCCTTCTCACTAGCCACATTTAGGATGAGTGGCCACTGTCCTGTCACCCAGAAGTTGCATTCTTGAGTATAGAACGACTTGGAAAAGCACCAAACAGCTAGCAGAGAAATAGCCCAGGTAAGTGCTAGTTTCAGTCTTTAGTGTAGTACCTGTTTCCCCAATCTGGTTTCTAAGGCAATTTCCACTGAACTGTTTTAAGTGGGTTTGGCAAGTAAGAACTTGGACATACTGTGAGATAAATTTTAGGAATATCAATTTGAATCTGTATAAGGACAACTGGGAATGTGAAATCATAAAAGAGGACTGAATCCTGAGTCCGGCGGTGGTGGTGGTGGTGGTGGTGGGCGGGGGTAATATGCTAAAGGGACGGGTTGGGTGACTTACACCTGTTGTAAGGCCTAAGCAGTTGAATGGGATTAGAGAAATTTGGTGATAGGCTCAGAGCCTAAATCCTCAGTGAGATAATCAGTAGTATCTGCTTCAAAAGACCTCAAAGGATACCCCAAATTAGTTCTCTAGCATTAAAAAACTTGCTTCATGTTTCTTCTCTCAGTTCTATAGCCCTTTACCTGTAACCCCAAGGTGGTGGCTTCTGAATCTCCTCAGTACGAGGACTGACTCCCCATCAAGGCAGAGCTCTAGTGTGACTCCACCTTCCATCAGCGCTTTGCTGGAAGCTACTGACCAACATGGCAGTGCTTAATGTAGGTCGCTGTGACCACTTCCAAAGCAGGAATATGAGGTTGGAGGAAACACAGGTTTTATTTATGGCAGTGCTGGGGATTGAAGCCAGGGCCTCTGCACTGAGCTACAGCCCTACCCGTTTTTATTTTTTGAGATAGGGTCCAACTGCTAAACTGTCCAGGCTGGGCTTGAGCTTGTGATCCTCCTTCCTCAAGTGCTGGGATTACAGGCCTGCCCTAGCAGAAATACAGGTTTTACATGTGGCACAGGCTCACTAGACCCCAGTGATCCATGCTGCCCACCTATTTTAGCTCTGCTGTGTTCCTGAAAGCAGCTTTTCCCAGCCTACTGTGCTTAGCAGTCTGCTGACCTCACAATCCTTGGTATTACATCTTCAGTCTAGGCCGAGAACTAGGCAGCATCTTACTTTCCAACATCTAGTAGTTCATCTAGCATTAGATGCCTGTTTCTAAATTAACCCCCTCCATTTCTACAACTCAAAACTATTCGTCTCCACCAATTCTCTTATGCTTTAAAACTGCTTTCATCTCCCTGGCTTGAGGATGGGACAAATTCAAGTTTTAGTTCTTTTTAAGTATTCCAGTTTTTCTTACGATGTGGTTCTCAGATCACCTGCCTCTCATCAACTGAAATTAGAAACTTTTCTAATGCAATGGATTGGATCCTAAAACAGGCAAGAACATTAGGAAATCTGATGGCATCGGGAGTTAACAGTAACGTGCCAACACTGACTTCATAGTTACAACAAATGTACTGTGTGTAAGATGTTAACATTAGGGGCACACAAGAACTCCGATTAATTTTTGCAACTTAAAATTTTGGAGTAATTTTAATTTACGAAAAATCTAAATTTAAAAGTTTAAAATCTCTGGGGTCCCACAGCTACTGAAGCTCAATTTCTGAGGCTGAAAGCAGAAGTGATTTTTACCCAAACTAAACCTTAGCTCTCAGTTTCCTTTCCATTCCTGAACAGCTGCTGCCTCCTTGCTTTACTTACTTTAACCTGATTTAATCTTCTAACACGTTTATGATGGAGCCGTTAATTCATGTCTTGCTGCCAGGCAGCTTGAACGACCACCAGTAGTACATGTATGACTGTCTTGAGTTGCATGGGACAATCCCATGTGTGGTACGAGCTGCCCAATGGAATAGTCATGTATGTACCACCCACCGGTGGCTCAAGCCAGTGGGAACATGTTACATATTCTGAACGCTGAGATATACTGTCACTACTATTCTTACCCCTTTTCACAGATGAAAGCAGTGAACTCCAAAGACATAGTGTTTGTGATCACAGCCAGTGAACAGCGGAGCTGGGAGCTGACAGTCTGCTTCCCAATCTACACAAAACCATTCCGCCTCTCAACTCTGTCTCATGACAAACTAAAGAGCTCTGTAACTAAATCACTGAAAGCAGCACTATTGCCAGTATATCATCCCAGGACCAACTTTCTAAAGTCCCCTTGCTCCTGCTGGTGACTGCCCTTTGCCTTTTTCATTGAAGCAAGCAAAGGACTGTCAATGATAGTCCTCTATGTGGCAGGTGCAGCTGCCCTGTCAGCATTCTGCTCAGCCACTGCCCTACCTCCAGTACCACAGCACTCTCTTTGACAGTTACATGTTCACATGCTGTCATTCACCTCTGAGTGGACTGTGCTGTCCCCTTTCTACACTTTAAATTCCTGATTATCCATGTTTTCCTACACTTTCCCAGAGCATTGCCTCAGAGCACTGCTGGAGAAAGAACACTGACAATACCAAGCATTAAAATGAGAGGGAGTTTGGTACACTGATGGCTAATGTGCATTTGGCAAAGCCACCATCAGTGGAATGTGGCCTGGTGATAGTATTCAGCCTTACCGAGCATTTCTCCAGATGAACAGGGAAGTGTTGACTTTAAATCCACTTCTGTCCCCCTTCTGGGCTCCCTCAATACCTGGTGCGGATCCAACCCCTACCCCTACCCAGACACACAGCACACACCGTCTGTCCACACAGACTCGGTGCAGACAGGCTTGACAGAACAGAACACAACTGGGCAGTGTCTGTACTTCCATGGGGCATCCTTCATTTCTTCAAGTGAATAATGAAACAATCACAGGATCAGTAGGAGAAACCTAGGAATATAGTCAAGTAAAACATGATTTAATTAGTTCTGCTTCTGGTGATTGGGATTAGCCCGATTTAACTTATTAATAAAAAATTTGCTGTTTATATTTAACTACATCTGAGAAATCTGACAAAGTTAGAATCCACATCTCTTCAGGTAATCTTAGAAAGCAGTGTCTCTCCACTAAAAACAAGGAGAAAAAATTTCTACAGCACCTTTTAATTTTCTTTACCATTGCTTTAATGCATTTTTAAAAGTTATCTACATTAATTGGGAACAAAGAAACAAAAATAGACATTTCTTTGTTTTTCATAAATAACTAATCTCCATATTTGATAAAAATCTCAAACCATTATTTTACCTTCCCACAAATATAATACATATAAAATTTCTCTGAACTAGTAAGGTCGACAAGTATCTTGAGACCAACATAACCACAGATGATCGTTGTGCTACTGACTTCCAGGAACGGAACAAAAGAAAATAAAACCTTATCAAGATGCTCTGGGTTTCATTAGCATTATGGATTCAGAATTATAATCATTTGCCAGGAATAATTTATAGATTCGAGTTGATTGTCTACAAATAAAATATTGCTGGCTTGCAAGTTTTGGCAGAGTTGCCCGTGACTGTGCTGGGTGGGATAGGCACTGTACATACATGAAACCATAAAAAGTATCGAATGCCCTGGACTCCAGCTACTGACTCTGTATGTGCCTCATCTGGCTCAGTAATAGATTCACCTGCACCAAACCCGTATCAAAAGTCACTAAATATCTCATATATATAATATATATTATGTATATATACACCAGTGAAACATACACATTATACATAGTTTGTAACAATATGAAGTAATATTGTTATAAATGATGTACCACAGACACACATTATCCTGGCTGAAAGAAATCCTGTCATTGTCATCAAGCTGCTAGAAGCTTCTGAGTTTTGAGTCAGGTTGGTTACTTACATCCTGCCTACTTTCACCCTTCTTTAATGTCTTGGCAGCTTTTTCTTGCGGAACCATCCTCCCCAACCCAGGCGTCTCCCTTCCCCAGGATCACTTGATTGGCCTTTGGAGACAAGAAAGGGCACACAGAGGGAGCAGGCCATTCTTAGCTGCCGTACCTCACACCTGCCTAGATTTGTGATGTGCTCCGTCCGTTTGCCACATTCGGTGTTAGAAAGCAGTTATTCAAAGCTTTCTCCCTCCTTTCCCCCTTGGTCTTTCTGTAGCACACAAAAGTGAAAGAAGCTTCTTAGCAGGGGTAGCAGTTCATTAAAATATACAACTGCGCTTCCTAGCTCTGGGGTTCCCATTCTGTACTGGAGAGTGCAGGTCACGGATGCCGCTATGAAGGTGCCGTGTGTGATCCGTGAGGTTTTCTCCTGGCAGCCTGTGTCAAGATTAGTGCGGCCCTGGCCCAGGAGGGGACAGCCTAATGAATACCAACTTTGAAACAGTGCTGTCGGCACATTATTTCAGCTTGCACATGCACACAATTACGCACAACACATACTCACAGGCCATGGCCACTGGCGGTGGTCACGTGAAAATCTGACAGAATAACCAGTAAGGCACCAAGAAAAATGATTTCCAGCCAATTCAGACATCTTCAAAATGTGAGGAGGGAAATAATATACATTTTAAGGACTTCTTACAATGTGGCCACCTGAGTCCTGGAGGTGCCATTATTCCTTGTGAAAATCTTTAGAATATTCACCCCCTGACCTAAGGAGGCAGTGCTTCAAACTGAACAGCCACAGGGCAGCCTGGAAAAGACATCTGAGACAAAAGTGGACCCTGAGTCCTCTTCAACTTCGTGAGGCTGCCTAGGAAGAAGTAGCTGAACTCCCCCACAGCCTTTCATTTTTTAGTTGTTTTTTATGAGTCTGATTTGTCTTCACAACAAAAATGCAGAGTGGAGGAAAGTATGTGACCGAAAGCGGGGAGTGGTTATAAATAAATGCAACTTCTCTCCCTGGTAGGGTCAAGGTGGCTATTAGTAAGACTCGAGGGAAGCAGGTGGGCTGGATCTGTCTTTTAGGGAATGAGAAAAGAAGGAAAGTAGAGGTGAGGAGAGAAATGACATGAAAAGGTGCCTCTGAAACTGGACCCCCCCAAAGCATTACCTAGCTCACCATCTCATTTTAAAGTAAAGAAAAAGCAGGAAGTGGGGCCAGCCCATGTCAGGCACAATGACCAAAGGGAAGGAAGACTAAGGGAGACAACAGGTCAAGGTGATCGGGAATAGGAGAGGAGCTGGGGCCTGGGAGTCTATTGCTAGGTTCTAGGAAGAGGCTTCCAGATACACAGAAGGATAAGATACGCACAAAGCTCTGCAGCTATGGCTGCTGGGTTTTGTGAAATCCACTGAAGCTTTAATTTTGGTCAGAGGATGAGCTGTTTTTTAAGAAATGTGGACAGCCCTTGAAAGGCCTTCAAACTACTAAGATTCTCCTCACCAGCTAAGTATTTAAATTCCCGTTTATCTACTCAACACCCATGCAGTAATATTAGTCGAGGCTGAAATTTAACTTTTCCAACTTTGATGCAAATGAAGCTCAAGTGCCAAGATTCCGGTTATTTGCCTAGCAATGACTTTGGCCATTTTAGCTCCTTCAATTCAGTCCCCATGCGGTCCCAGTCTCTGGTGTTTGATGCACTGTCACCCTCCCCCAGCCATGGCCTCACTCTTCATCAGTGAACCTTTAAACAGATTAGAAAAGCAAACAGAACTTTCTAATGGCAAAGAAACCTGTGTGCATGTGTGTATATTCATCAGTGTATAAGCTTTCATACATGCAGGAAGGAATGTTAAACAGATGAGGAAAGCAGTGTGTGTGCGTGCGCGCGCACTCAGCAATACATGGGCTTTCTCAGAAGAGGAGGAAAAGGAACAAAAAAGCAGGGGAGGAAAGAGCTTTCCTCTCACAGCAACATTAACTGATTCATATCTGAGAGCTTACTCAGGGATGTTATGGGTTTCAGTTGTTTTCAGATTGCAGAGTTCGGTCTTGCTGCTCTGGGGACATCTGGCTCCAAACCAGCGGAGTCCAGGGTCACACACTTGTTTTCTCTCAGAGCAGCCACAGTCTATTCACAGGTAGCTAGCGCCCTTCCCCAGTCTAAGCGCTGGGGGTGGGTGTGGTTTCTAATCACAGCTCTCCAGGAGAGGAGGAATAAGAAAAGCAAAAAGGCTGTTTAACATGATAAAGGAGGTGTGTGGGGGGGGGGAGCAGATAAGAGAAGCATTGGAAATGTACTTTAATTACTGGAAGCATATCCGTTTTAGTCCTTCAGCTCAAAAGGGAGCCCCCTTTACGGATGATCCCTAAGTACTTTAAGAAGGGAATGGGTTTACTTTCCTCAAAATTCTAACACAAGCTCCCTAGGCAAAGTTAAGGATGTAGGCGAAATCCTTAGGCGCTCCCTACCCCTGTCACTTTGGGGAGGTCCTGACCACATTAGGCTCTGCCTCCCAAGAGGTCTGGGGATAAACACAGGAAGAAGCAGCTGGCTTCAAAGCACCTTGGACACTGTAAGCAGTGGAAGAAAAAGATACTCCATACCTTCCCAGTCACAGCAACCCAAATTTTCACTGTTCACATTTAAAAAAAAGTCACAGGTATATTTTCTCATTTTAGACCACACAGTTCAAAGAAATCTGAACCACGTGGGAACTCATTACAATGCCAACTTTAGGATTGTAACCCCTACCCCCTGCAAGCAAAGGTAAATTGTGTTGCCAAAATGCAACAGTTAAAAATTAAGAAAAATACATATAAATTAAGAGGGTTCCTGTAAAGAAAGCAGTAAGAAACGCAAAACAACACGCGTGAGCTGAGCCACTCCTAGACCCGAAATCCTTGGAGAAGGCCCCAAGCTACGCGGGGAGGGTGCATCAGCACCACGAAGGTAAACAGAAGTGACCTTCGAAAAGCTACCTAGCCAGCCGCTCCCCCTCGGTTCCCAGGAAGGCTCCCCGGCCAGAGCCTCCTATACAGGGCCTCCTATACGTGGGACAAGGACACCTGCTTGTGGTAGGCAGCGGTGGGGCCCGATGGCCCGGTCCTGCCCGTGAGAGTCGCGCTCGCCTCGTAGTCCCCCACGGCCACGGCGCCGCCGCTCTTGTGCGCACGCCTCGGACGGCAGCAGCAGCGGCTGGTGAAGCGGCGCCACGACTCCACTGTCTTGCCGGACCAGATCCAGACGCCTGATGTGATACCCACCACGAGGCACATGAAGTACTTGAGCATGAGCACCCAGTACTCAGGCTTGGCGCGCGGCTGGCTGGTGTCGCGGCCAGGGCATGAGCAGGTGAGTGCCGCCTCCCAGCTCTCGCGGTAGTGCTGCTCGTACAGGTAGCAGATGACCACGATGCTGGCAGGCACTGTATAGAGCAGCGTGAAGATGCCAATGCGGATCATGAGCTTCTCTAGTTTGTCCGTCTTGGTACCACCCTGCTTGATGACACTGCGAATGCGGAAGAGTGACACGAAGCCCGCCAGGAGGAAGAGCGTGCCCACCAGCAGGTAGAGCACCAGCGGGCCCAGGACGAAGCCGCGCAGTGAGTTCAGGTTCTGGTTGCCCACGTAGCAGATGCCAGCCACGGGGTCTCCGTCCACGGAGCTCAGCGCCAGCGCCGTGATGGACTTGATGCTGGGGATGAGCCACGCGGCTAGGTGGAAGTACTGCGCGTAGCCTGCGATGGCCTCGTTGCCCCACTTCATGCCCGCAGCCAGGAACCAGGTGAGCGACAGAATGACCCACCAGATGGAGCTGGCCATGCCGAAGAAGTAGACGAGCAGGAAGACGACGGTGCACAGTGCGGGGCCTGTGGTCTCGTAGTGGATGTGGCTGTGCTCACGGCTGCAGGCGACGCTGGCATGACCCACAACCAGGCGCACCAAGAATCCCAGCGACACGCACAGGTAGCAGGCGGACAGGAAGATGATGGGGCGCTCGGGGTAGCGGAAGCGCTCCATGTCAATGAGGAAGGTGGCCACAGTGGTGGCGGTGGAGATAAAGCACAGCACTGACCACAGGCCGATCCAGAACGTGGCGAACGTGCGCTCGTCCGGGCTGAAGGATGGCTGGTAGCAGGGCACGGCGCAGTTGGGCACCTGGCCTGTCCGCACCTTGTTGTAGAGCGGGTGCGACTCCTTCAGGATGGGCACGAAAGGCTCGCGGCACGTGCACAGGGCAGGGCCCCCCGCGCTGCACTCGCCCCCGGAGGAGGGCGCCCCCGCCGGGCCGGGGACGGTGGGCTTGGGCGCTATGGACCTGGGGGGCGCCGTGGTGGCCTCGCTGCGGTTGTAATCCATGCACAGGACCTCAGCGTCGCGCCCCAGCACCGGGAGGCGGTCGCAGCTCATGCGCTCGGGCCAGGCAAAGCCGTACTGGCGCATGAGCGGCGAGCATCCGGCCTTGGCGCGCTCGCACACCGAGCGGCAGGGCGGCAGCGGCTTGTGGTAGTCCGGCAGACAGATGGGCGTGTACATGGAGCACAGGAAGAAGCGCAGGTCTGGTGAGCAGTGGATCTCAACCAGCGGCCAGAACTGGTGCACCTCCAGGCCCGCCTCGTCCTGCGTGTCGTGGTTGAACTGGTTGGGCATGTGCGTCAGGTTGTAGCCGATGCCACGGCACATGGGAACCGTGATTTCCTGGCACACCGGGGCCTTGGACGCGGCCGCCGCCCGGCCCACCAGCTGTGCCAGGAACAGCAGCAGCAGCGAGGGCGGCGCGCACGGGTCGGGCCGCGCCATCGCCCCCGCCCGGCCCCGGCCTCCCGTGCCCCTAGAGGGGCCCTCGCAGGCCGAGCAGTGCGGGGCTGCCCCCTCCCGGGCGCCTCGCGTGACGATGGGGCTGACAACCTGTTGGTTTCTTTTTCTCTTAAAGAAATCCGTCCAGAGACAAACTGCTTCAGGCAGGCACTGCGGCTCCTCGCCTGATAGGGCTGGGGAGGGACGGTCAGGCTCCGATCCCAGGGGAAGAACTCTTGCAAAAGAGAAGAAACACCGCGACCACAACTCTCAGAAGGGCGTCACGGCTGGGTCCCGGGGGCAAGGTTCCGATCTCCAGGCTACCCTTCTCCTTTCGTCCTTTCCACCCCCAGACCAAGTGCTCAGTCCCTAGCCCTCCCTCTCCCGGCCGGGCCTCGAGGTTCAGGGTGCTCGGCACCCCGGAAAGGGTCAGACTGAGGTAGGGGAAGGGAAGGTGCGAGCTCTCACCTCTGGGGATCCCGCCGAGAGGGCCGAAGTCCGCAGCCAGCCTGGCCCCGGGTCCCCCAGACACTCCGCTCAGAAACGCAATCCCAGGCGGGCGGGCGCGGGGAAAGTTTAGCGACAGGCTGGGTCCCCGCGGCGGCGACACATGCTAGCAGGTGGGGCGGCTCAGAGAGCGGGGCGCCCCCCGCGCGCGGCCGACGCAGGCCGGTCTCTCGCAGTCTCTTTCTCCGAGGCCCCCCGGCATGATCCGGGCGGAGCGGGGCAAGGGCAGGCCGTGGGGAGCCGGGTCCAGCCGGGCGCGGGGCGAGTGCGCTCCGCAGCACCTGGCAGGGGAAGGCGGTGAGCGGCTGGGACCCGAGCAGTCGGGGCTGTACGGTGAGCGCCTGCTGCAGCCGCTGCGTCCCGCCGCCGCTCGCCTCCTCCCCTGCAGGGGGCTCCGCGCTCCAGTGGACTCCTGGGGCTGTGGCGGTGCTCAGGACGAGCCCGGCTCGGCTCCTCCCCGCGCTCCGCACCCCTCCACCTCCCTCCCGTGAGCGCGGAGCAGCGCACAGCAGCAGCAAACTCCAGGCCGGGCCGACTGCCCTCGCGCTCCCGCCTGGGTCACCTGCTTCTAATGCCGGCCAAGAAGCCCCGCCCCTTCCCCGCCCCCGGGCTCCGTGTCCGCCCGGGGCTGCCGCGCCACGCTCTCGCTCGGCCCCGCCCACTGCCCCCAGGGCTCGGCCTCTCCCCTGGCACCCTCTGGCCCCGCCCGGAGCGGGCCATTGAACAGTGTTGGCCAATCACAGGCGAGAAAATGATGGAGGCGGGGAGAATGCTAATCACACCGCCTTGAGAACTGGGGCGGGAATCCCGGGCCTGAAGTCCCACTGAGTTTGCCGCACGCGCTCGCCTGCTGCACGGTACTAGCTACGAAGCTCTCCTTTCAGGGCCCCACTTCGGCTCCTCTTGCATCCTAGCCCTTAAAGGTCAGCGCTTGTGTAAATAGAACTGCAGTGCCACCTGTCTCCCTTCTGCGCGCTTGCACTGGGTGACGAAGAGGCAATACTTAGTCCCTAGTGTATGCCTAACAGTAATTAATCGTCATTAATGCAAGACCTGAAGCTCCTACAATTTCGAGGCAAGTACACGAGGCAAGTACGCGATGCAGGAGGGAAACGGAGCTTTACCAGCCTGATCGAGGAGAGTGAGCTCGTATAAACCGGAGGTCCCGACAGCCTCGCTCCCCGAGTGTCCCGGCGCCTGTCACGCGCGCGCGCGGCGAGTCCGGGACAGGCAGCTGGCAGCGCCTGCGCCTTGGCCCTTCCCCCAGGGACCTTCCCTAGCCCCTAGGCCCCGACCTTTATACGGTTGCATCTCGTAATCACTTCTTGCTGCTGTGACAAAATGAGTTTCTGACATTGGTAGGCTCCAGGAATGTTAGTCCTTATCAGCGAGTTTTCTAATCCCAGGCAGGTCCGGAGTCGCTCACAGGTAGCCTGACTCAGGGCTCCGTTCCGGCCGGGCCTCCGGGCTGCCGGCTAAGCCCGGCTCCGGAGAGCCGCAGGGGGCTAGGGGCGCCCGGAGCAGGCAGGCAGCAGGATCACGCAGGGCGGCCTCCGAGTGGGTTGTTGGGCTGCAGGTTTTAAATGTTCTACAAATGCCTCTTTTCTGTGTGTTCTAATTAGGTTGGAAGACAGGTGTTTAGCGTGCTAACCAAGACGGTTTAAATTGTGTCCCTCTCTCCCATCCCCTCCTTCCACTAAGAGAAAAAGGCTTTAAAATAGGCAGTGTCTGGGACATTTGAAAGACAGGGCTGGACTCTGTGGCTGAGACCCATTGCGAGTTATTGTCTTTTCTGGGTTGCCTGTATACACACTGGGAGACTAAGTTGCAGAAGAGCCATCTGGGTCCTGCTCATCACCCGACTTTGTGGGAAATAGAGATTATATGTATTAACCCCATCCTCAAAATTAAAAAGGAATAAATACAAATCACTAAACAGACATCATAAGCATTCATGATGTTTAAAAGGTACATCCCATTTTCCATTATTTTAGCTCTTTTGTTTGGGGGAACTGCTTGGCACCTGGTCTGCAAGCATCGCCGTTGAAAGTAGTGGGAGCTGGAAAGCTGGGGTGCACAGGCTGCCACTAAAGGGAGCCGGGGTGGAAGGAAGCGTGTGCGCCTGTGCACATGCCCAGGGCGGCCCTGGGCTTCCTCGCCCTTCTTGCAGCGTGTGCGTTATTGGGAATGGACAAATGTTGGCTAACAAAATTACTTGAAGTTGGAGAATGTCACTCACACAGGAATTTAGCCAGAATACTTGTGTTATTTCACTTGGTTCTGACTCAAACTGGTTTGTAAACCTTCTCTCTTAATCAACTGCAAAAACCTTAATTTTATTTAGAGATCTTTAAGAATAATAGAAGAAAACACTTCCATAAAGACTTATTTTGTGTTGTATTGCTTTTTATATCATTTTAATCTTTGCTTTTCCATATATTCAAGTTAAAGGCAATTTCAAATATGCTGTTTAACAGTTAGGCAGGGTGCTAAATAATTCATGTATTTTACCTCATTTAATCCATCCAACAATCAGATGAAGAAACTGGTACCAAAATGACTTGCTGAAAATTATTTAGTTCATGGAAATGGTAGAAATAAAATGTTTTACATATCATAATGACTAATAATGGTTGGGTAATAATGATACGATGTTATAAAAAATTGCTAAGAGCAGATTTTAAGAGTTTCCACTCTACAAAACAATAAGTAATAACTTGTTTTAGCCACTCTACAATGTATATAATTTTTACTTGTCAAGTAAAAAATTACTTAAAAACAAAAATTTCTGAGTCAACAAATTAGAAAACAGTAATTTTTAAAAAAGATGCCACTTATTTACTTTGTGGTGTTGGGGGCTTTGCACATGCTAGGCAACAGCTCTAGTACTTTATACCCTCAGCCCATAAAGTTGCAGTTTTAATGTTTTAGAACATTACCAACCATCCGTATTACCAAGCAAGTTACTTATTTCTCCTTCCATTTTCCATCTGTACAGCCATTCAACAAACATCAAATTTCTGAATTGAAGATACTTTTTAATTTAATTTTTTTTTTTTTTGAGACAAGTTCTTGCTTTGTGTTTAGGCTGGCCCTGAACTCACTTTGTAGCCTGGGCTGGCCTCAAACTTATGGTGATCTTCCTGCCTCTGCCTCCCAAGTGCTGGGATCACAGGCATGTGCCACCATGCCTAGCCCTGAATTGAAGATACTTTTGCTATATTGAACATACTTCTACAGAACCTAACTCATGAAATTCAACTTCACGTTCAAGGTATGTTTATTAATTGTTGAAAATCTTGAATAATGTGAACTATTCCATTTAATAAGTGTGTGACATTACATATATTTTGAAGTATTGATTTTGGATTTTGTCATCAAGGGATACTTACAGGATTTTAAATCTTACTAGGTTTATGTTTGCACATGAATTATTTTTCAATGCTGTAAGAATCAAGAGGTAGCTTTTTTATACTCTTATTTGTTTTGCAGTTCTGGACATCCAACCCAGGGCCTTCACACTGAACTACATCACCAGCCTCTGTATGTGTGTGTGTTTGAGACAGGGTCTTGCTAAGTTGCTCAGCCTGGGCTTGAACTTGAACTTGCCATCCTCCTGCATTAGCCTTCCAGAGTGCTGGGATTACAGACACACATCACCATGTACACTATTTACTATCTTGAAAATTGACCCTGAAATGGTGTTGTAAACATAGACACCTTTGATATATATATCTGGGCATGAATGAATGAATGAATGAATGGCAGCTGAGATTAATTTTTTCAACTTCACAACTGGCATTGAGTGCTTGGGTGCAGCCTTGCCACATGAACTACATCTCTCAGGTTGGCCAGACTCTACTAACTGTGGCAGCATTAGGTCCAAACTCAGCTTTGCCCTTACTAGCTGTGCACTGTGGGATTTCCCAGTTTTCAATATTCTCTTTTGTATATTACTTTAACAATGCAAAGAAACATATTATTTTCAGGTGTGTTTTATTTCTGACCACACTCCAGGGTAAAAGCTATCTTTAGCAAGCAGACATTACTAAGTTTAGTCCAAAGCACAGGTGGTCTCACTTGCCCAGGATCAAAGTGCATGCACCTGACGTCAGCAGCCATTGTGCACACACAAGCCAGCACGGAGCAGGAACCCACACGCGCCTGCCTCCCTCACAGAAACAGTATCCCCAGACTGGTTCCTGCCATGTCCTCAGCATCTTCCTATCCCATCAGCCACATTCAGGTGAGAAACCACCAGGGGATTAGCCCCAAGAGACATTTGTCCAGGTCGATAATGAGAAAGCCTTGTTCACATTGTAAGTAGAAGAATTCAACTGTGATCTCTGGTCTTCTCCCCTCCCATGGTAGAACTGATAGAAAAGTAAAAGCAGCGCTCTTTTTCTCTCCCAGGTAATGGAGGCACCAGTCTTCCCCACATTGATCAGTGCCTCTCAGCTGCACATTATAACCACCTTGGAAGCAGTAAGAACCACTGAACCTTGTGCCCTGTTAAATCAGAATTTCTGGTTGAGGAATCTAGAAGTTGCTTTAAGAGTTTTTTTGTTTATTCAATTTGTTGCTGTTTTAACTGTGGAGATGATTCTAATTTTCATGTAGGCTTGAGAACCACTGAAAAGATGTTTATGATGTGTCCTCAGAATACCCCTAAACTGGGCCAGGGATGTAGCTCAGTGGCGCTGCACCTGCCTGGCAAGTGCAAGGTCCTGAGTTGGATCCCTGGTACTGGAAAAAAAAGAATAGCCCCACATTTGGGCCTACCTAGGTGCAAGAAAGGGAATAACAGCTGGGTGTGGCACCGCATACCTGTAATCTCAGTCCTCTGGGAGGCTGATGCAGGAGGATCCCACATTTGAGCTCAGCCTAGACAATTTAGCAATTTCGCAAGGCTGCTATGAAGGGAGGGGGCTGGGGATGTAGCTCAGTGTGAAGGCCCTGGGTTCAATCTCTAATGCCATAAATAATATGATATTAAAAATCATAGTAATATTAAAAATTAGTTGCATTGGTGTGGAAAATGGAGTGTCCCGAGAGAAGCAATAGGGAAGTGTGTTCTAGACTAATTGCATCTGAGTCTGTTTAGGTTGAAGGTAAAACTATGTAAAGCAGTAGGTTTGAGGTAAAATGTATTAGCAGGAATGATAACCATAATAACAGCAACAGACGAATATTGAGAATTTCCAACATGCATTTTACATAATCTTAAGCATTTAACATACATAATCTCTTTTACCCCCACAAATCCTGTAAGATTTATATTCTTAACGCCATTCTGTAGGTGAAGAAACCAAGTTCAGATAAGCTGAGTAACTTGCCACGCCTTCCAGCTTGAGTTTCCTTGACTTCAAAGTCTGTATCAATCGCAGGCCTCACTGAAGGCCTGGCAGCAAGCATGCATGATGCATGGGGGCCCAGTACTCACCACGGTAAATCCTAAGATAAGCAAGGTCCCTGTTCCTCAGCATCCCTTCCTGGGGATTGAGTAGAATCTTCAATTCTGGTCTGGTCCCTTGCATGTGGAAATAAAGTGTAGGAAGCTGACAGCTCTGGATTCATCTAGAACCCAGTAGTGTAAATCCAGATGCAGCCTGTTCTTTGGGCTTCGAAGAGCAGCCCTGAGGTGTGCCCCTCACACAGACTTCAAAACCTCCTGGTTCTTGACAAAGGAAGCCTCCCATAGCTGAGCGTTGATTCTGTACCTGCTGTGAGCCAGGCACTGGTCCCAGAACCCCAAGGAAGGACAGCATGGAGGGGCAAAGCAGGGCCTGGGGCGGCCCATCGGAGGAACTTAGTGGCTCAGTGAGGACCCAGGCTTGCTGGAAGGCTGAGTGTGAGTTGGTGATCCCTCAGAGTTTGCTGCAGGAAACAAACTACTCCAGGTGTTCAAGCAGAGAAAGATTAGGGCAGGGACTTATACTGCTGCTAAAAGGGCTGGAAGTGTAGAAGTCAAGAGGCTGCCCCTGGAGTCCTAAGGGTAAGGGCCCACCCACCTCAGTAGCTGTGATCTAGAAGTCAGGATGGTTCTTCATACTTTACGTCCCCTAAAATAAGACCAGATCTTATATTAATTTTTGCTCCAAAAGATGCAATAGGCCTTATTTTGGGGGGATGTCTTATTTTTTCATGTACAACAATCTACATTTATTCATGTATAAAAATCTACTCTTTTTTTTGGTACTAGGGATCAAACTCAGGACCTTGCGCTCTAGAGGCAGGTGTGGTGCCACTGAGCTACATCCCCCGGCCCTGGCTGACCATCTTAACTGGGGCTTATTTTGGGGTAGGGCTCATATTAAGAGCATCCTGAAAAATCCTGCTAGGGTTTATTTTCTGGTTAGGTCTTATTTTCTGGGAAATACAGTGCCACAGAGCTGGTGACAGGCCACTCCGAGCGACACCAAGCCCGGCAATATTAGCTATCTCGCAACATTACTTCTTATGATGGGGAATCTTGATGCTCAGTCAGTTTTGTTGAATTGGGTAACACCTAGGAAATGAGTAATGGACACTTCTGGGTGTGCCTGTGAGGTGATGGGCCTCAGGCTGAGGGGAGCCCCACCCCAAATGTGGACAGCACATTGTGCAGGCCCTGGGCCTGGGTGGGACAAGGTAGGAGGAGGAGCAAGCTGGTGGCATGTGCTTTCCTTGGGGTTTCTCTCTGCTTCTTGGCTGCCATGAAATGAGCAGCTTTCCCCTACCTAACCTTTCTGCTGTGCTGTTTCTGCATTTGAACTGCTGGCTATGGACTAAAACTTCTGAAACTGTGAGCCAAAAGGGACCCTTTCCTCCTTTAACATGTGGGTGTCAGATAATGTGTCTCAGAAACAAGACAGTGGCTAAGACACCATCCTCCTCCTTCAGCCTGCTGGGTAGCTGGTATTACAGGTGCATGCCACTGTGCCTGGGTATAACGATTCTTTTTTGTTTTTGTTTTGTTTTTTGGCACCGGGGATCGAACTTGGGACCTTGCGCTTTCGAGGCAGGTGCCGGAACCACTGAGCTAAATCCCCAGCGGTATACTGATTCTTATAAAATACAATCAATCAACCAATCAATTTTTAAAAAGGATTCTAGGTCAAGATTTTTAAAGAGGGCATGCCAGTATAACTACCTTGTGATTTATTTTATAGTTTTGTGGTTATCTATTCCCAGATCACTTTTCTCCACTAGATTATATGTTCTTGCAATCTCCCGTTCCCAGCTCCTTCCCTGGAAGACTATTTTGTAAAGATAACTGATATTTTCCAAAGATAACTGTAACTGTAAAAACTGCTACCACCCCATGCGCTCCTTTGCAGTGTGACTGCAGAGTCATTCTCCCACAGAGGAGGTGGTTAGAAGGTCCCAGTTTGCGTCTCTCAAATCCTGGTGGGCCTGGGATGGTTCCAACCATGAGAGTATGTTGGAACAGTACTTCGAATAGGTCAGCAGTGGCCACGCCATTTCCACCTGATTGTCTGGAGCACTGTTTCTTTGAAATGCTTCCTGCTGGAGCCCACAGGGAGTGGCCCATTGACAGTCCCAGCTGACAGTCCTCGTTGCCCCAGCTGCTTTCTGACACGTGGTGAAGGTGCTTCCAGTCCCCAGCCTTGAGTCACCTCAGTGGCAAACCTTCCCAGGGGACGTGCCCGACAGCATGATACAGAAGCAAGTATCACAGCTAGGCCCTCCCTAGGATCCTGAGCCCCAGCCCCAGGGAGTACAATTAAATAGCTGTTGTTTTACACCCCTCGCTTGGAGAGCTTTTTTACAAGAGCAATGACTGGAATATCCCAAACCTTCCTGCCTGTGAACTCTTAGATGATCGCGGAGACAACTTTTTTCCTTTTCACCTGACCCAGTTGGTGATCAACTTAGGCACTGAAGCTTGAGAACTTTCATCCATCTCACTTTCATCCTGTTGAATTTCACTGTTGATGATATGCATGTGAAATGTCTAATCTTTTAAAACACAAATCTTCGCCATTGATCTTAATATCCTGCTGCAGTGAGTTCCCCAGGTCAATTGTGTGCAGTGGGGGGAAAAAAAGGACCTCCTTTTATCCATTTTAAACATGCTTCCTTTTCATCTCATCTTGTCCTCTTGTTCTTCCCCAAGTAAAGCGATTTCCATTTTGTGGGGACCTAGACACAGAGGACTGAGTTGAGACAATAATCTTCCTTTGAGCTGGTCTCCCAGAAGGTCTCAGGTGCACTGGGACACCGAGTGTGGGTTTAACTGGTGACATAAAGGTGGGAGAGACACCATTCTAA